GATGAGGCCGGTGAAGTAGGTGCCGAGGGTAGCACTCAGAGAATCCATGTGGTATGAGATACCGACAAGGACGAGACCGACCAGGAAACCAGGCAACATGGCAATGGCCCAGAAGCGACGACCGCAGGTCTCCATGAGGAAGATGGCGGGGATGGTACCGAGGAGGAGGGAACCGCCTCCGACGAGAGACATGTAGTTGGCGGTTACGGTGTCGAAGCCGACTTGGTGCATCAGGACGGACATGTAGTACATGATGGCATTGATACCGGTGAACTGGCCGAGGAAGATCATGATGTTGGCGTAGATGATGGCGCGGCGAGCACGCGGCTTTGTGAAGAAGTCCATCCATGGGAAGCGGTTGGTGCGTCCGGCAGCGACCTCAGCCTCTTCCATCTCAGTGCTGACCTTCATGACGAAGAACTCCTCGCGAGCCTCGTGGGTAGCAGTGCCGCGAATGCGCTTCCAGACCTTGAAGGCCTCGAGAGGCTTGCCCTTGTGCATAAGGTATCGAGGGGATTCGGGCATGAAGAGGATACCGACACCCATGATGGTGGAGAAGACGAGGGAGCTTCCGAGGATGTAACGCCAGTTACCAGGCACAGTGATGAACATAGCGGCGACGGCGTAGCCAAGAACTTCTCCGAGGGCGATGTTGAACTGGTAGAGGGAGACGAGGTTACCACGGAGTCTGCTCTCGACAGTCTCAGCAACGTAGACGGGTACGGTACCACCTTCGAGACCGACACCAGCACCGAGGATGACACGGGCGGCGACGATCATGCCGTAGTTCATGGATCCGGCTTCGAGCGCACCGCCGATGGTGTAGAGGATACACGAGATGATGATGGCCCAGCGGCGACCAAAGTATTCGTTGCATGGCGAGATGAGGAAGGCACCAGCGACGGCTCCGAGCGGCATACCAGAATTGACGAGCGAGTTCTGCTGGGCAGTAAGATGAAGGTCGTCGGGCAGTGTGAGGTTAGCACCAGAGATGAGCGACTGGTCCAAGCCAGATAGCAGACCACCCATGGATGCGAACGCGACAATCATCCATGTGAAATGCTTTGGGTTCTTGAACTCGATGTCGAAGAAGCCCTTCTTGTAGTTGGCCTGCTCCAACTCCTTCTCAAGATCCTGGATCAGGTTCTCGGATTCCCATCCTCTCGCATCCTCGAGTTGTTCTGTCTTTGCCTTGGGTGCGGAGTAGTCCGGTGTAGGTGCGACCTGGATATGGTCGGCTTTTTCTGTTTGCAGAGTGTGCTGCGGCGACGAGGTCTCCTCAACCATCTTGGTGTCCTTCTCGTCCATGATGGGCAGTGATCAACAAGAGATCAACAGTGAGGAAGGGAGGAAGAAAAAGGGAGAAAGGCTGCAGCAAAAGGCTGGTATCTCACAAACCCCTCCCAAGCGGACGCATCTCCGCCCTTTATAAACCCCAGTGGAGACGACCCATGCCCATGGAGAAGCCTCCCCATGGCGCTCTCCATCCCACCACCAACGTGACGTGACGTACGCGTGGAGTCTCCATGGCACGAACGCGGCAAAAAATTTGCCTTGCGCGGATCGCAATGCCGGGGTAGTAAGCACCAGCGCAAAGCCGGTTGTTGCAGACTTATCATGGGCTGCCCAGGAAGAGTATAGACAGGTGGAGATAAACAAGCAAAGGACCGACCGCCTTGGTGGAGCTTGGCTGCAAAGAAGCTTCTAGCGCCCCACATGCGGCTCTGCGGTTGGATCCAATATTCCTGCCGAGATACTCTCCGGACAGGTGTGGAAGGTCGCGCGTGTAGTCGTCTCGAGGAACTTTGGCATACCACAGCAAGACGTCTTTATCGCTGGTATGTGAGGGCGCCAAGTTTGACATGAAGACAAGCATCGCGGAACTTGCGGCAGTGGCGCCTGGCGTAACGTTCGCGACCAGTTCTCGCTGTTCCCAAACTACCTAGGTACCAGGCATCTCGAACGGCCCAACCAATACCAAACTCTGCGCGCTACGCCAACAAACAACGCGCGCAATGACGTCGAACGCCCTCGTGATGTGTCAGGAAACGGCGCGAATAGCCAATTCCCCCAAGATCAGAAAGTCCATGCGTGCATCGGAATCGGAGCATGGGGAGAGGGGCGGGTTGGTGTGAAGGCCATGCATGCATATCCCCTCACCATCGGAGAAAACGCTTTACTTCGGCGCCCATGCCTGTTTGGGACGAGCCGGGAGGGGAGTGCAGAGGGCGCATACCTTACTAAAGTACGCCGTCCGACTTGTTCCGCTCCAGCCTCATCTTCCCCCGGTTCTCCAGCCCGTGTTGTTGGGTAGGTGGGTGGAACCCGGGGTCCTCGCATGGCTCGCGCATGGCTCTCGCATGGCGGGTTGGGGGCGCTTCGGGCAGAACCGGCGGCGCAGACATCACTGCTCAAGCATCCGGGAGAGAAGATGCTTAGCAGTTCTTATCGCTCCGACTGTCTTGTCGCTTATGTCGCATACTGAACGTTATTGCTGTCTATCAGCCCTAGCAAAGATGACGATATCGATAGCTGCGACAAGGCATCAAACCAGCTCAGCATTGATCTGACAGTCGGAGGCGGACCACATCGCTAAATCCACCACCAAAGCGCCAACATCGGACCATTCGACTCCCTCCGACATTCTAGAGCTCCGATCCAATACGCTACCACAAGAACCAATCGAAGCCATTAGCTAAACCGGTATCCATCCAACGAATCCATATCAAGCATCGTGAACTGCATGTGCAGGCGGTGTACCTGGTCGAGAAGCTTCAGTGGAGTGTGCCTTGACTCGGGCACCTGGAAATCCCATACCATGGCCTTGGCTACCTAAACAAGAGCTTGCATAACACAATACTCGTGGTGTACATAGATCCACTCTGGGCTGGATCCCAAGAGTGATGTTTTGCTTTGCTCTCTTCTTTTTCGTGGTGATCTTGGTGGTTAAAACTTAACCCATCACAACTATCGCGGACTTTGATCTGGAACGCGATGGTTTCATTCGTGTCTTGCGACGCAATTCTACTGACTTCAAAGATGGCGGCGTTCTATCATTACGACGCTGCAAACCGCAGCATGTGTACGCGGCTGTATCTAGGTATCGTCGCACAAAGAAAGACTTCGCCGCACAGATATCAACTATCGCACCACATTCAGAGATGTTTATCCTCGACGTAGCATCGTTCATCAAGTCTTCTTGTTGCACTAAGTAGATTTCGAACCCGTAAGAGTCGCTGAAGAAGCGTCTCTGCTGCAGCGACTTTGTGTCGCAACGCTCATTCGCCGCGTCATTGCACACCAAACAACCCTTCCCTCTTCACTTCACAATACCATAGTTCATCATCTTTCTCCCCTCCCTTTTGCTTCCCTCCTCAAACCCGCACTCCCATCTCCATCCTCCCCCTACAACTTACTCTTCTCCTCCCTGCCCACCAACCCCGGATGGCTTACCCTAACCGGCCTCGTAACAGCATAAAACGCCATCCCACTACTCTTAGTCGAAAACTGCACCTTACTCCCCACATGAAAGAACGCAAAATCACCCGCAACAAGATGATGCGTAATCCCCGTTGCCTCATCCAGCACATCGATCTGACCACTCAGAACATATTTCGTTTCCTCAAAGTCATAAGAAGCCGGTTTCGAAGGCCCGGCTTCGATCTTGTAGAAGCCGGATGTTAGGTGTGCGGGTGAAGAAGGGGTTTGTGTACGAATGCTGGCGTGAGTTAGAAATAGAGTTTAGATGATGGAGCGTGGCGTAGAGGAACTGAGACGACGCAGAGCGACGAGCTACTCTCGATTCCCGGGATACATAATTGTTCTATACGCGAAAATATTCCTCGAACGAGATGGATCGGAATCGTTGTAGACGGGCTTGGATTGCTGGGGAGAGAGAGGGAAAAGGTGATGATGGGACAAGAGGGGGTGGCTTACGTGTGGAAATCGGCTACAGTAGCATTATCGCCTTTGGGCAAGGGGATAAATTCATGGCCTGCGCCTTTGATGACGGTGAGGGGGACGAGGGTTCCGGACACTGTTTGAACGGTGCGCGTTAGTGATGTTGTGAGACCGCCACCTCGGTTCCATCCCATCTAGGAGGAGGGTTGAGCTTACTGTTTGATGCAAGTTCGTAGAATTCTTAGTAGTAGTAGTAACGTCAATGTGATATTTGAGATGAAATTAGTCCAGAAAGCACATTATAAAGAACCAAGATGATGATGTTCGTGCGTCTTCCCCCACAATGTTGTGGGATGCGATAGTTGCCCTAATCGGGTAAGCCGTGCCTGACTGCCCAGGTCAGGTAAGCCCCTCCATTGCACTTTCGACATGGTACGTAATGAGCGCAACACTTGAACTGAAAGGAACATGCGTGGAAAGTGGCGTACACTAGCTAGCGATGGCGCTTCAGTATACCAGGCGAATATGACGACACCATTACTGCAACTCTCACGCAAAAACATCCATCAAACTTCACGCCGTTCACAGACTCAAGAACAAGCATATCGAGTAAAGAAACTCATAACCTCTATCTACCACCTCACTAATCCTCCCACCCGGTCCACCCAACCAGTCTCCCATCAAGGTCTAGAGAGACAACCCGGGCCTGCACTCCCAGATCATCCTCTTTCCCATCTGTTCGAAACCAGCCAGCTGGACCAGGCATTCCTGCATCATCACATCTCCATCTCATAAACTCGTGAAAAAAACTCCTTCCACTCCAATTTTGAACTGATATTCGTACACAGAGAGAGGAAAAGAAGAAAAAAAAAGAGCCCAGGGCATAAACCATCAGTCACTACTCTTCTTCTCATCTGCCAAATGCTCATTCCTTCACCCCTCACCTGAAAGGGTATAGTTCATATTCCCGGTACACACATACACGCCCCTTCCTGCGCCTGCAATGCAAAGAAGATCGTAATATGTAATCATCGAAAGTGCGATAGTCGTGAGGTAAAGAGGCCGTTCGTTCATTGTTTGTGACAGCGAGCGGGGTAAGTTTAGGCGAAGCCAAAGTACTCGCCACCAGCTGTCATAGCGGTGTAGAGAGCCTTGCGAAGATCTTCGTACGTCTCGTACTCAGGGAGGTCGAGTTCTGTCAGATTTGTTAGTATTGGGTTGAAACGAAGGGTAGGGGGTATAGCTTACGGTTGAAGCAAGTATGGCTAGATGGCAGACGATCCTTGCTGCCGTAATCGCGGTGGATGTTGAACTTGGAGAAGCCGTTCATACCCTCGAGCTCCTTGAAACCATTGAGCGGCACCTTACTTGTACCAGTGACGAATTGAAGCAGCTTGGCTTGCTCTTCCTTCTCGAACGTTCGGACAGCGCGCCAGAACCACTGGATCTGTGGCGAGGCAGCCGTGTAGTTGTGGTACTCGGTGTTGTTCTTCCAGTCATCCACATTGATGTCAGGCAGACCGGAAATGAGAAGTTCCAGCTCCTGTTCGCTGAAGATGGAAACCAGCTCTGCCGGCACAATGTCGTGGAAGCCCTTGAGGAAGTTCTCGAGCTGCTCTTGGACGGCGCCTACAAGACGGTGCTCAGTGATGAGGCGGACGTACTCGTGCTTGTTATCTTCGGTAACGGGAATGTTACGGCCGTTTTCGATGAGGTCGACGGTTTGCATCTCTCCAAAGGCTTCGACTTCAACTGAGAAGGTTTCCGTTATGATATCCGTAATCTCGTTGTGAATCATCCATTCCAACGACTTGTAGTACTCAAGGTCAAGCGTCTCCATATCCTTGAGGCTGACTTGCTTGCCCATGATCTGCTTGTAGACCGCTCGGCTGAAATGGCAGTCGAGGACGCGGCCTTCGTAAAGTGCTTTGCCAATGATGCGACCAATGAACTTGAAGAACATCAGATGCTCAGGGTTGATCGAACTAAGGCGATTGGGGTGGAATGTCGTGCGATCGGAAGCGACAGGTACAAAGAGAGCGTAGTCGGCGTTGAACATCTGGCGTGAGATTGACTGGAACCACTCGCGGGTAACACCACCAGCGTCAACACCTTCCTCGCCGTGGAAGCGGATGCTGAGCTTGCCAAACTTCATCTCATCGGCCGATTTGAAGTATAGCGACTTGAAAGAGTCTAGGAAGACTTGGTCTCGACGAACAGAGAGCTGGAGCGGCTGGTGTTGTTGTCGGTCGCCACCTCGCGAATGAAGCTTTCGGTTGAAGTAGTTGCGCTTGTTGTCGAACTCCAGCACCTTGGAATTCTTCACAAGGAGGGAGAAAGTTCCGCTCATCAACTTGGGGTTCTGGCGGACAAGATCGTTGAGAATCTTGCGGTGCTCTTCAGTGAAATTGAAGAACAAGTTCTCCATCCTGCTCTCAGGTGGCGGACTAGACAAAGCGAACTCCTTGGGAAGCATCTTGGACAGAGGCATGTCCTTGAGTGTGGTGTTCTTGCAAACAACCATCAGACTCTCAATCAGCGGAAGCAGCGTAGTAGCAATGTTGAGCATGTTGCCGCGCTGGCGGATGACAGTGAGACATTCGCTGAGCTTTTCCCATAGTGGCGCGAAAGCAGAATCCTCGTATAGGGTCAAGAGGATGTCTTCCTTCTGAGCGGGCTCAAGTGCCTCTGCAGCGGCCTCAGGCTTGTCCTTGCTATCGCGCGACGGGTCGAAGAGATAGTCAAGCGCTGTCAGTGCCCTCAGCAGCTTGGTTTGGTCGGAGCTTGCTGGGGAGAACTTGGCAAGTGCGATGCCTTGGACGTCAGTAGGCGAACTTGCCTTTGAAACTTGAACCGTCAAGCTCGCAAGATCCTGAAGTGTTGAGCTAGCAAGATCCTTGGCAATACCAAGCAATTCTTGACCGAAGATCTCTTTGGCACCTGGGATGGGCGAGAGGTTGCTGATAACCGACAAAGTCTCCTGGAAGACCTTGCTGTTGCACTCCCGAGCAGCCAAAATCTTAGCGACGAGTCGAAGGTTGGCTTCAGGTACATCGGGTGGTGTGAGTGTACGGTGCTTCTTCTTGTCCTCTTCGGCCTTTGACTCGTCAGGCTTGGAAGTACTGCCCTCACCCTCAGTAGCGGTATCTGGCTGAGCAGCGTTCCCGGGAGCAGTCGTCATCTCCGTATCTTGACCATCTGGGCGTGCTTCCGTGGTTGTGGTATCAGCAGGCTCATTGTCAGTAGTCTGACCCTCCGCAGAGGCCTCTGCCTCCTTCTTTGCGTCTTCAGCAGCCTTCTCCTTCTCCTTCTTGAGGACTTGAAGTGGTGCGGTGATGACCTTGAGCAGTGATGTCAATTGCTCCATGATGGTAGAGCTCTCAACGATAAGCTTGCGGTCCAACAAGGTAAGGAGAGCATTGACTGGGTACTTGTTCGCCTTGCTTTCCTTCGCCTTGCCCTTGCGGTTGGCACGATTCTTGAAACCGACGCCAGTCTCGTGCTCAGTAAGGAAGAACTGCCATACGGCAGGGTTCTTCTCCGTCAGCTGAGTAAGTGTGTTGAGACATTGCTGAACGACCATGAGTGGAGAGACATCGGCGTTGATCGATAGAGCGCCATTCTTACGGGAGATCTTCGGGGTCTTGTCTGCTGGCTGCTGGGGCTGCTTTGCTCGGATAGACAACTGAGCAAAGCTCTTTTCAACTGCATTCACATCGGCGCTACCGTCTTGAAGAATGGAGAGCAGGATGCTAATGACCTCGGCACGGTTTTGACGGTTCTCACAGACATAGCGGAGGATGGAGCTCAGGCTACCCTTGGCGCTTCCTTGCTGTGGGATGAACATGAGCCTGAGGAGCGTGGCAACGCCTGCCTTGTCAAGCATTTGAACGCAAGGACGCGTCTTCTTCTTCTGTGAAGGGTCGTCTGGCTGCGCGCGGCGATCACGTCTATAGCCAAAGTCGTTGAACTGGTGTAACCGGCGATCACCTCCCATGGCTCGAGCTTCCGCAGACATGTCAGGTGGAAGTTGGCGCAGAATGCTCTCATCGGTATCCATAAGTACAGCAGCTCGCAGATTGGGGTCCAGCGATGCGAAGAAGCTTGCAGGATCCATATCTTCTGCCTGTGGAGGGGCGGCGCCAGCACTGCTTTGGTCGCGACGGCGGCGCTCTTCCCGCTCTCGGCGTCGACGCTCTTGCGCCTCCTGTGCAAGCAACTCATCGCGGATCTCTGGAGGAAGAGCAGCCAAGAAGTCTGGGTTGATGTCTGTAGGTGCCTCACCTGCTGGACCTGCCTCCTCGGGCGCCGCTGGAGCTTGTGCTTGTGCCGGGGCTTGCGATTGTTGCTGCTCTTGTCGTCGCGCTTGAGCCCGTTGTTCGGCTCTACGTTCAGCTACCTGCTGCATCAAGACTTCCTCGCGCAGATCCTCGGGAAGAGCGTCTAGATACTCGGTGTCGATGCCCAAATCCGTAATGTCATACTCATGACCTCTAATCGTTGTTGTGACTCGCGGTGCTGGAGGCGCAGCAGGTTCCGCAGGCGCGGGCTCAGCCGCAGCGGAGGCGTCAGCGGGCGCTGACGAGGACTCTCCGACCTCAACGCCCTCCATGGCTTGTGCTTCAGGTGCAGTTTCAGCCTCAGTCTTTGGCTCACTTTCTGCGGGTTCTTCTTGAGCTCGACTCGCAGCCTCAGCAGCTTCACGTTCCTGTCGCTCACGGTCCTCCTTCTCTTGCGCCTCACGCTTCTCGCGCTCTTCACGTTCTTTCTGCTCTTTCTGTTCCTGCTCTTCCTTGAGTTTGCGTGCGACCTCAGCCTGACGTTCCTCCAGTCGCTTCTTCGCCGCTTCCATGGCAGGAGGAACCATGACCTTCAGAATGGAGTTGACCACTCGCTGGCTCTTCTCTATCGCGCCAGGACCGAATAGGATCCGGGCTTCTTCCTGCCAGCGCTGGCTGGTGTACGCCTTGACGAATGATACCGCAGAATGTGGGTCTTCGCGAGCAGTGCGTGATGTGTACGACTCTCGCATGCGAGCAATATCGCGTCGCATCCCGCTATCGAAGGGTGGCATACCCATGGGATTGGCGAAAGAAAGGTGCAATGCGCCTCCGTGCTGGTGTATTGTCGGGCCAGTAGTAGAGCTCATAGCATTCAAAAGATTGCTGATGAACGAGACTGGGCTGTCAGATTGGCTGAAAACGCGGGGACCACGGCCTTCAATAGCATGAACCCAGTCGCTCTGGCCTTCGTTGCGCGGTAGACCATCTCGTCCAGCAGAGCGACCACCTCGCTGAAGCAAGGGGTTGATACCGTCGTCAGTAACACGAGGACCCGCACCTGGGCGATGCGAACGGTAAGCTGGTACAAGAATGCGATCACCTGGCCCTGCGGGGAACATCCATGGGCTGAGGCGGTGGGTATGTCGAACAGCAGGAGCTTGAGCGTCTTCCCAGCTACCTCCCCACCCCATCTCGGGCATAGCATCGTCTTCATCCTCCATTCCAGGATCGTAGTGAATTTCTTCATCGTACTCCTCTTCTTCCTCGTCCATATCTAGTTGGGTTAGCGACCGTGATAAGCGTTCTATCCTATGAAGCAACGGACCTTCTTCCGCCATCTCGTCATCTAAGAAGTCTTCGAGATCTCCACCTTGTTGACGCATTTGTTCAAGAAGCTGAGGAGGATCAAGGACAAAGCCGAGCGCGCCAGGGCCCATGTTGCCCTCGCCGTTAGGACCACCTGGGAAGTCGTCCTGATCATCACTCCAGTCATCTTCTTGATCTTCAGCGAGACTGGCGTTCTCGTCATCACCAGTGACTTCCTCCATGGCATCCATGGCCTCATCCATGTCGTCCATATCGTCATCACCTCCATCGTCCATGTCATCCATGTCATCTTCGTCGTCATCCTCATCGTCTTCTGAATCGTCATCAGAGTTTTCATCAGAATCAGAGCCCATTCCCATTTGGTTGCCATCGTCGTCAACCTCGATCTCGACATCGATGTCGCCGGGGAGACCTTCGATAGGACCCATACCGTCAATGTCCATACCCATCTCCCCGAGGATCTCTTCGTCGTCATCAGAAACAACATCGTCGTCACCGATATCAGCCTCGTCGTACTCCATGTCATCCGCGTAAGGATCGTCGTACATCATTTCCTCACCCTCGTCGTCTTCAGAGTCTTCGTCAGATTCCGAGTCACCAGTTTCAAACATGCCGAGCGTGGAGTTGCGGAACAGATCAGGCGTCTCTTCGCGTGTGTTATCAACAAGATCGTCGTCGGATGCTGTCGAGATCTCGTACTCGTCGGCGGAGTCTGGGGCTGAACCAGTATCATAGTGCATGCTCAGATCCATGGCTACGTAGCAAAGCCACTTCAAAGGCTTGAGAATGTACTTAACCACTCGCTTGGCATTTGGGAAGTTGAGATCAATGTCCGAAATCGCTGTTGTCAGGATAGTGACAAAGTTCTTCTCGTACATGATCTTGGCCATCTGCTTCAGGTTGGGTGTCAGATCGGCGTTCTGAGTAAGCATCTCTCCATTGGGACGCTGCGACACCATTCTACTAAAGATGTCGGCGATGCTCAACAGACGAGAGTACTTCATGTCGAGTGGTTCATCCGAAGCGTTTGCATCCTTGAACGCCTTCAGAGCATGCTCAAGGACGAACTTGCGTACGAAAAGCAGGTCTGGCTCAGTTTCTGTGTATGGCGACACTGGTACGTCGGTTTTCGGCAGAACGAACTCTCCCGTTTTGTTGCACAGTGAAACGATGACGTCGATGGCGCAGTTCGATGTCGCCAGCTTCTTCTTGAACGCAAGGTCGCCTTCATGGCTCAAGCTGCCGATAGGCACCACGTTGTTGAGAAGGTAGTTCAGGACACCGGAGCGAGGCTTTGATGGTGTCACAGTGTAAGGGTCTGCCTTCCTGGAGAAGTTGATAAACTCAATCTTCGTGCGGTTGTAGCTCTGCAGAAGTTCAGCGAGACACTTCAAGATGAAGCACCGGTAGATGTAGATTGGGTGTGCTTCAGCCTTGAACACAGGCTTCTCGGGCTTAGCAGACTCTGTAGGTGCGGCAGCTGGGGTCGCAGTGGCGGCGTCCGAGCTAGACTCTTTGCTTGCTTGCCCTTCAGCTACATCCTCTGCAGGCTTTTCTGCGGGCTTCTCGGTAGGCTTAGCGGGCTCAGGCTTATCTTCAGCCTCCTTGTAGGCTAGCAACTCGCAGAGAAGGTAATGAATAACACCATCGGGGTTCTCAACTACAGGCACCTTGAGATCTGAAGTCTTTGTTCGCTCAAGGAACGGCTGCTTAGGCGCTTCGCTAGACTCCTTGGGTTTATCGGCCTCAGCAGTAACCTCTGAAGACTCAACAACACTTGTTGGCTCGGTTGGCTCAGTCGCAGGTGGGTCGGTCTTCTTAAGAATAAGAGTTTGCGGTCGCTGATTAGGATCGAATCCCTTAAGTTGAAGCTTCTCGTTGGTGACTTCAACGAAGATCTCCGGCGCACGGATGGCTAGCGCGTACATCTGGCGAGTGTAGCCAGTAGTGTCTGTCTGCCTTCGGTCGCGCGACTCAAACATCTGCTGGATCTCGGTACGCATAATCTGTCGAATCATCTCGTCATCTTCAATCATGTGACGAAGCACAATCATGAAAGCGCTTCGAAGGCCCTCATTGGTGATACCAGCAAGCTGCTTTACCATGAGGAACAGACGTTGAACGTTGCGCTTCTCCGCAAGACGCGTGGCAATCTTACGCGTACGAGTAAGCATGGCTAGTACTCGTGTCACAGACAGAGCCAGCGACTCATCTTTGCCGATGCGAGGCAACATCTCGATGATTGCGTTGAAAAGCAGATCCTTCTCCTCCATACTGACGATAGGTTGCGGTAGATCGTCGACTGTGGTCTCTTCCTGGGACTCTTCTGTCGGCGGAGTCCATTGAACTTGATGCGGAAGTTGATCCTCAGCCAGTAGTCGTTCGACGATAAGCAAGACCTGGCCAATCCAAGGTGACGAATCCTCCGGAGACTGATCTGGAAAGATTTTGATGAAGCCCAACAAGGTAGTGAAGTGTTCCTTCAGCTGTTCAACAATAACGTCGTAGAAATCCTTTTCTTGAAGCACCAACGCTAGGAGATGGGCCGAAGCTGCTATCTTCTTGCTCTGGGTTCGGAAATCGTCTTCACTCTGTAGCGACATGAGAGACTGCACGAGCATCATACCGATCTCGGCACGCATCTCGGGTGGGTCGGGCGCTTTCGAAACGGCGGCAATAATGAGATCTGCCAGCTCAAAGGTGACATCGTCGTGTGAGTTGAGCATGTCGAGACATCGATCAACGAGGTTCTGGCGGAGCTTGGCTCGCTGCTCATCCAGCTGGTCTATGGCAACGAGCTGGGTCGAATTGCCGTTAGCCATCCGCTTCTGATAAGCAAGAGCGTCCTGGGGCGCAGCGGGGGTTTGGCTTGACTGATCACCGGGTACAGGTGTAGTAGATGTAGGCGCCTCTGATTCTGTAGTCGAAGCGTCGGCGTCTTCCATGTGGACGGACTGTGTCTCCGGGTGCTCAGAACCATCTTCATCCCGCGTTACTTCGCTCCCTGTCATGCTAGCATCGTCCGGGTGTTCGGGAACCACCACTTCGGCTCGACTTGGTGAAGCGGATGGCGGGCCTCGCGCTTGGATCTCATACTGTGGTATAGGATTTCTTGAGGCACTTGGACGGATTTGGTTCTTGCAATACTCCTCCGCCATGTTGAAGTTGTCGCAGCATCGATACAAGGCTTCTTCAGCAAGGCTCTCCTCGTATCCCTTGTCTTTCAAGCGTGGTAAGTGGTCTCCGTTTCGGGCAGTCCAAGGCTTGATTATGGGCTTGCTACGCTTTGGAATCTTATCGATGCTCTTGTAAGCTCCATGCTCACCTTCGCACTCGAGAACAGATTTCAGTATGTTGACAGACGTCTTCACCAACGACGTGGTAGCCTTATCCATGAGATCAGAATTCCAGATCTTTTCCACAGGCACGATAACGGCGTAGCGTATCTCAACGAGGAACTGAGCAGTCAAGAAGTGATCAGCCCGCTCCCGATCGCGATCCGGCCGGGTTTGCATCGATGACGTCTGTGGCGACTCTGAGATGACTTTGAAGTTGATGATCTGGGAGAAGAAGGCCAGAATGATCTTGATACCTCCGAGAGAAAGGTTGAGCACTCGCTTTGACTCCTCACTAGTATCTTCTGCCTGCTTCTGGGTGATCTCAAGCGCCGATTCGTAGAACTGGTTGAGGATGTTCGCCAGAACGTCAAATCCACCGAGGTTGCGGAAGGACACAAGCAGCAACGTCAACGCTTGCGATCGATCGAGGTTTACCTCCACGATAAGCTGTGACAGCGAAGTAAGAATGATGATCCAGTACGCATAGCGGTCCTCAATGATCTCTGATTCCTTGGGACCTTCGTACTCGAGCTGGTCAATGACTGCCTGGGCAAGCTGGTCTGACACGACCGTTGCACATTGCCTCTGGTAAGCCTCAAGACTGCGGCGGAACAAGAGTAGTTTGCCAAGCGACTGGAAGAACGGTGCGACTTCCATCGGTATCCTACTAAGCAAATTGCGGAGAGTTTGCGTGTTCTTGAATTGTGCACTGTTCTGGCTTGGAGCCGTGATCTCAGAAGCTGAGCCAGAGGCAGCAGCGTCTCCGTTGGCAGGTGGTTCGGTCGCACTGTTTCCAAGGCGGAACACGTTATCGGCTTCATCGTTGCCGAAACCAGAACTGGTGATCCGCGTCTCCTTCTCCCATTCTGTGGGCATGTTGCGCTGGAGCAAAAGCTCTTCCCAAACACAGCTTCGATGCAGCTTTCCGAGACTGTCCACAAGACGTGCGTACATGTCCGCAAGATTGACTTGACTAGATACATTATGAGAGGAACGGGTGGTGTACATCTGGCTCTGGAAGGTCAAGGTCATGGCTCCGACGAGGGTATGGGCCGACACTAGTGCTTTGACGTATTGTGTACCTTGCTGCATATGCTCTGGACTCTGGGAAGTACCGGTGCTTGTGAAAGGTGCGAAGAAGGCTTGCTTGCCGGTGTGATCGAGGAGTGGTTGCAGGCGCTCCAAGGCCACTTGTGTCCGCTTGATCAGAGAAGGCACCGCAATATGGGGCTTCTGCTCAACAAGTACCTGGACAACGTGGCCGAATTGCTCGCACATGCTGCGGTACTCGCTTGCTTTTGGATCTAAGCAAGCGAGACTCGAAATGTCAAGGATAGAATCTACACCATCAAGCTCGACGTACGCAGCGCACATGGCGTGGTTTGAGAAGAACCCAGAGAGGAAACGGCAGAGTACGCGGATGTACTGGCCGGTGGTAGGGCCCTTGGTGCTGTCCTCAGTCTCGGTGATTTGACTGTAAGCGACTGGTTCGTTAGCAGTCCCATCAGCATCTTTCATCTCCACATCAGTACTTGTGGTCCCTGATGCTTGAGTTGTACTTTGCTGCGAGCCTGATGCAGAAAGAGCTTGGCGGCCGCCTGCCACGGTGAGCTTTCCAGCAGCATCCTCGATCCAGAGCTTGGCTCCTACACCTTCCTTCTCAGCCTTGTCGGCGCAAAGTTGGACCACACGCGCGATCAGCTCGCTTAGACAGGCAAGAACGCGTGCCTTGAGAGGCGGGTGATGGCGCACTAGCTCATCGAAAGAGTTTCCGATCAGGGTAGGCATCTCCGTATCAGCGTCAAGAGCTTTGATGTGAGCAGGGCTCTCGAAGATCTCGAAGAATCGCTGGAGGGCGGTCGATGACTGGAACAGCTTCATACCAGCTTCAGCCAAGCAGATACCGTCGAAAGCCGGGGGCAGGGTCGAGATGGCTTCAGCTACAGGCAAGATACCCTCGGCAAGTGGCTTTCCGCCCTCCCTAGGAGCGTATGTCGTTGGTGTTGAAGCACTGGGGTCATTGTTGGCTGCAGCCGTCGATTCTGAAGCAGGCTCTCCCGCGACTGTCTCCAAGAACGCATCGCTCAGACCTGCCTCGGCGATGACTTGGTAGCTAGTGGGTTCATTGTTGATGAAGCTGGTAAGGATCGTGACAGCCATGCTCCAAACAGTTGAGCCGAACGTCTTGGCGTTTGATAGCACAGTGCGCAAGCTGCTGAGCAGCTGTTGTGAGTCAAGCAAATTCCGCATCAAGCGATCGAAGTTTCCGCCTGTGTGCGACATCATGTGGTTGAGGAACTTGAAAAGCCAGCGTAGACTCTGCTGGTGATAGAACGGAATTTGATAATCAGTAAGCTGAGTCTTGTACTCCTTGGGCATACCCTTGTCCTCCTCTGCGAGCTTCTTGGAGGTGTCGACCTCGTATTGCATCAGATCAGCAATGATTTCGAGCCCCTTCGCGGCCACGAGGGCTGAGAAGGCGTCTCGCAGGTTGTACACAAAGGTATCAAGGAAGTTGAGAATCTTGGGGTGGTTGCGCTCTGCCTTTGCTGTACGCAGCTTAAGGACATCGACAAGAATTTCCAGGAGCCCCGCAGCCACCATCTGCTCACCAGTGCGTGTTTGAGACGTCGGCAGAGTGTTCAGCAGAGAGAACAAAGCGTCGCGCCACTCGTCCTCCTCGATATCATCCGGGTTACCAGTTTCCTCGCCAAGGCCAGCGACCAGCTTGCGCACAACGTAGAACAACACACCATGGTTGACGTTGACACTAAGGGCGGTGCAAACATCAGCCGCTTTAGACTTGTGCTTTGCAAGGGCCTCGAGCGCGCTCATGGTGTATGTCTGCAGCTCCATCGAAATGCCAGTCTCGCCGTTTCCAGGCGGATGGACGAGCTCAGAGAGTTGGTAGGCAAGTTGCAACCGGCGTGGTTCGTCTGCATCTTGCTGTCCCAGTTTGGCCATGAACTCCTTTTCGACGTGTACGTAACCGATGTTCGCAATGGACAGTAGGCGGATGGCAACTGCACTGTCGCGCCCTGTGCGTCCCTCGTTGAACATCTTTGCGATGCGGAGCTTGTGGAGGAATTCGTAATGCACCGTCTCCGGTAAACTTGCGAGTCCTTCCTTTATGAGGTCGTGTATGTCGGTCTTGTGTACCTTGTCCGCTGAGAGCTGGAAAGTCTTGGGCCCGTTCGTTGTATTACTGGGTTGTCCGGGAGTGAAGGCAGGTGTGCTCGGCGAATCGGTAGCGGGTGCAGGCTGGGGCTGTCTCGGTGTTCGGTTGGGTCCCATGCTGGACGTCCTACGTACGGGAGTCGGCGTGGTGGGCGCGGGTGCCTCTGTAGATGCCTGCTTGCCACTCTCTGCTTCGGACGAGGGGGTGGGCTCATAGTACGAGATGAGGACGCCTCCGAACTCCTGCTTCATCGACGACTCGGACAGAGAGTACAGAGCGACTAGGTCGGACGGACTGACCTTATCAGTGCTGCCAGCGCGGTCCTTGCCCTTGCCTGCTGGAGTGCCGAAGACAGGTGCTGCCGTTGCAGGGCCTTTTGCGAATGGGCTAGCCAGCTTCTGGACCTTGTCGAGGTTGATGTTGTAGTGGCTGGAAAGAAGGGACGGGTGCAGGGTGGCCGGGGCCAAGCGCATGCGTGCGGCAGCATAGCGCTGAGCGAGGCGATGGCCTAGACGAAGCGTGGCCTTGAGGAGGGATGTGGAGGTCGTGTTGAGCAGCTTGTCCAGGCGCTCACTGCTGGAATACAGACTACGGTTCCCGCAGTTCTCCAAGAGCATCCGCGTGAAGTTGAGGATCTGCTCGACCAGCTCGCGATCGCCATCCCGTGATACGTGCAGGGTATCCAGGACGGCATCGGTCGTGGTTTGCTCGGAGCTGGTGCTTCCTTCCTCGGCATCGCCTTTGAGCAGCAGCCGGCGCTGGAAGGCCTGTGTCTGGGGTCCGTCTACCAGGCCATATTCCTTGTTGAAGAGCTCGAGGATGTGGTCGAAGCGGTTCAGGGCGGGGATCCAGTGGTATGCGTCACCGCGGGGAAAGGGCCAGTGCCTGGGGAACGAGGCGAGATGTGCGGGCAGCTGGAACAGCGGTATTGACTCGGTCGCCTTCACAAAGTCTGCTATCATCGGCGACTGCGCGCTGTGTTAGTAGTGGCGAGGGCGGGGAGCGCGGGGAGCTGCAGCTTACCAGAGTCGACTCATGTCGCGATGTAGCCTGTTTCTTGATCTTCATGTTTGCGCCGGGCGCTCGGAAGACGAAGCTTGCTCACATGCAAGCTCTATGAAGCCGGTGTCGAGCGAGCAGTGGTTGCGTGTAGGCGGTCGGATAGCACGGCGCCGTGTCCGTGGCGTGAGAGGATGTCGAGAGGCAGGCTGCGATTGCCTTTACCGGAAGCGCAGAAACCCAAAGTGGCTGCGGCTTTAGTGGAGCGAAAAGCGGGGTCGTGATGAGGTATGTCGTCGGTGGGTCTGCACACAAAGGCGGTCGCCGCGAAATGTTGCGATGGCTACAAGCGGGCGGGTTGGCGGAGAAGAGGCGTGGGTGGTGGGTTGCTGGTAGATTCCACGGTGCAGGCGTGGATCTTGGGCAGCTAGTTGGGGGCGTTGTGGCAGGGTGCAGGTGCCAGCCGTGAAATAGCGGGAGCCTCTGTGTCGGCAGGCGGGTGGTGGGTGAGGTGAAGGTGTTGTTGGAGCTCCAGCTACGAGCACCGCAAGTAGCAGTTTCCGCAATCATGGAGACGTGGTCCGTGCCCGATGATCCAAGCTTAGAGCGTCACGAAAGCGACGCGCTGTCGTCACTCTCTCTGCAGACGGTGACGAGACAGAATCACGCTCGCGGTTGCGCGGGGCCTGTTGGGACATTCGTGGGTCTATCGATGATCGAATACACTGACATCCGTCGTCCCATATAATATCCGATAGCAGACATGTCACTATCTCACCACCGCAAGGCAGCGCATACCTGGGTATGCAATCTGGAGACTTGATAACAATATTATATATTACTCAACAGCACTTCATCATTCACAACACGACCGTCGCAGCACATTCCATGCCATGTCTTGGTACCGTCTACCAACCCCCCGTCCCACTCGCCGACTCCTCCCTCTCCCTCCCCTTCCCATCCACCAACCTAACCGTCTCCTCCAACACCAACAAATCCCTCTCAATCATCTCCGCCCAGTTCTGAATATCTCCCACCTCATTCAACTTCTTCGTGCCGCCCTGAAGCAGTTTATCCCACTCGGCAGTCTGTTTCGCCAGCGCCGCCGTCTGCTTCGCTAGCTCCTTTTCCTGCTTTGCGATTGCGGCAGAGTTGGCGTGCAGGTCGGCGGTGCGCGTGCGCATCTCGTTGTCGACGGATGCGCCGACGCTGGCGAGGGATGCGGTGACGGCTGCGCGCGCTTCGGTTTGGCGGCGCTGGGCTTCTTCGCGCGTGGGTGGTGGGGAGGGCATGGTGGGCGTGTCGTGTTTGGTATTGTCAGAGAGACGATGTTTAAAGTATTTCGCGTTGGTAAGTAGTGTAGTAGTTCGTCTTGATATGGTAGAGGTAGGAGAGTGTATGTGCTCGAATGGTCCTCGCAGCTACTCTCCCAGCGAATGATCGTCTGCGAGCTACTGCGTAACTCCACCATGGTGGCAGACTACCTAGTCTCGCTTCGGCTCTTCTTGGTATGCTGCGTAACATGGTGATTGGCGATTTGCGTCTTCTGCCGGCGCCGTTGGAGGCCGCTTCTGGCTCACTGCGTGATGGTGTAACGGGGCTTGATGTGAATGGCCGGAGGATATGCTCAATCTATGGTTACGACTAGCATCAGGGCACTCCTTAATCCCGTACCTTTGTCTGCATCTTGTACACGTGTACAAGGCTAGTATGCGCGTCGTACGGCGTGACCATGGAATTCTACGACTGGGCGACGGGGCGTCAGTTGTCGGCAGCAATTTGGTTTGATAGTACACTGGACGTTGCCTTAACACATATATTCTCTCGTCTTTGGGATGATAGGGTTGAACATGTATGTTCGTGTGCCTTTAGGCTCGTAGTATGATATGCGCTCGGTATTGATGTCATCTTTGTACCGTGAGCTTCTCATGCTGGAAGTTTGACAAACTCATGGTAAAGAGAATTCTGAAAGGGAAAAAGACGCAATGAAACTTCCACGCATCAAGAGATGTCGCTTGTGTCGCCTCCTCGTCAGAATGGTGGCTGAAGCCTGAGTCGTTGCGGCGATTTATCAAAGCGGGGCAGTCAGCGGGGAGCATTCGGGGCAGTCGGGGCAAGCGACGGTGCCACAATCAACACCTTATCGTAACTTACCTATCTGGGACACAGTCTAGTTGACGATCAGCCGTAAGAGTCAACTCACACTCATTTTCTTCCCATCTTCCGGTTTCTTCGGATTGCTAATATTCATTATGGTATTTAATCAGGTGGGTATACACGCAAATGTGGGTGTGTCACCAAGAATGTGTTTAGGTCTGGTATGACCCATCGCTACCTAGGTATGATGCGCTCTCTTATCGCCAATTGCACAAAGACGTCACTCAGCACAAACGCAAGATGTCCAATATATCTGGGCCCAATCAAATCAAATTCGTAAGATAACACTACAATCCAAGAAGAAAAGATAAAAGAAAGTAAAGAAGGTCATAAAAAATCCCCCAAGTGATCCAGCCACACATGTATCCAACCCCAAATCCCATCAGGTCAATCCCCGCATCAACCCTTAAGCCTCAATCTCCTGAGCAGCCTGCTTAATCGCCTCCTGCATCTCAGCGTTCATCTTTTCAGCTTGCCTCTGCGTCTCAGCGTCCACCTCAACAGCGTCCCTCTTCGCGTTCCTCGCCTTAATCTTCGCCTGCACACCCTTAATCTGCTGCACAAGGAAAGCAACACCCTCATCCGCGCGAACACCATATGTCAAGTGCGCAGGCAGCACGCTCAGCGTACCGAGGCAAACAGCATCGCCAGGCTGGCAAATGATCTTGACCTTCTCCTTGGGGAAGTTAGGGATCTGGTCCCTGTCCTGCAGCTTCTGGGTGTCGCCGTAAGTGACGACACCGGCGATTTGCTGCATGACGGCGGGATCGAGGCCCTCGATGGCGCGGTGGCAGACGGCTGCGCCTTGGGAGTAGCCCGAAGCGACGATGACGGAGTCTGGGCATTTCTGCGCCATGCTGTTGAGGGTGTCGGCCATCATGTTCTTGGAGCGTGTGTCGGTGCCGCCGGGGAGGACGTTGGTGCCGATGGAGGCGGCGTAGGGGATTCCCTCGGTCGCGACGGCGTCGGCTCCGAATTCTTTCTTGAGGCCGTTCGAGGTGGGCGGTCCGACGACGGTTCCCATGTTGCCGATCTCGGTGGAGCCACGGGCAAAGGCGAAGAGGACGTCTTTGCAGCCGCCGCGGCTGAACTCGCTCGAGCTGGATCCTGTGCCGCCGATTCCACCACCAAAGAGCTGGCGGCTCTCGACTTCGATGGGGCTGGCGGAAGCAAAGCCGGCAAGGGCGGCGATGAGGACGGATTTGGCGTACATGGTGTTGACTGGTGGATGGATAGGGGGAAGTGGGATAGAAGTTGAATCTGCTATTGACAAGAAGATAGAGAAGAAGCGAAGAAGGTAGGAACGAATGAAGCACCGGGCCTGTGAACTGTAGTGTTGGTGACAGTGTTGACTGATGATGATCTCCAACTGAAGCCGGCGTCCTACCTTCTTATAATCCTAAGATGTTCGGCCAGGCATATGGCCAAGCTCAATCTACCCATGACGACGATCAAGTCGAGAAGACAGGGCATAGTGCCAGGCACCGCCAAGGTATCAGTGGGCTCATCGATGAAGTGGAAACAACCGGTAACTAAGATCGCAGCCGAGGAAGGTGTTCGTCGACTCGACACTGGATTGGCCAACTCTGCATCGGTGTATTGCAAGGACAACAAGCCCCAGTCATGCGACTGCTACCAAGTACTGCCAAGTAGGTTGAGTTCTCATGAGAGTCATGGTGGAGATGGGGTACGGAGGAATACCAGTCCCACTTCGAGCCTCCTCGACTCGAACAACCTGTGCGGTCAACCACTCAGGACCTTCAGGTGATCCGACTACCGAAAAAGCACTATCATCATTCATGCGCTTGGACTTTACTTTTTAGTCACCCCGGCTGATCTTGCTACAGGGCAGTGCCCCACGCGAGGATGTTCCTAGTGTGTCCGCAACGTGCCTGCCGTGCCTCGGTACGCTGTGAACTCTGCTGTGAATCATTGGCCATAGTGACGTCCGTCTCCGAGCTGTCAGTGTAGGAGGTTGAGCTGACAAGAAAACGGCTGTCTCGAAAAAGCGGAATGACTTCATCGCAAGCAATGCGAGGAAAACTCTCGACATAAGATGCGATTGGGCAGTCTGCGGATGGAGGTATTTCTGCATGATAATGCGGTTTTGCATATAGCGAAGTTCCTGTTCGTTGTCAAGAATGCTTCCAAACGCAAATAAGCTTTCGCATATTTGCTGCCGTTGCTGGTATAGGGCTGATCGACGTCACGGGAGCGTCCCGTTATGGACCGTGTGCTATTTTAAATTCGCCTGACGCTCTTAGCTGTTTCAACACCCAACGTGATACAAAAAGCAAGCGCACCAAAGATGGCCAAACGCTGGCAACGCCAGCACCGCAAGTTGACCGTTGTGAACGGAATGCGCCGCACATGGAAGCCATGCCTTCTTGCCTTTGACTGCGACGTCTGGTGACGTTGGAATTCTTTTCGCAAAGGTACTCCAATAGATGGATGTTTTAGTGTGTGCGATGCTGGCAGACTGGGCATGTAAGACGAGCTTGCTTCCACTCACGGCAATCTACTGTCGGGATGCTTCAGGCGATGTTGATGCAATCTGTCCAAAGGGTACCAGCCATCGCAACACCCTTGGTGCTCGACTCCGTACCCTGCTTCATCCTGCGGACGCCAAAAACGAACAGTTCTTGGAAGCAAAAGAAGCAGGTACAGCATCAGCCACTGCAGGGTGTTGCCATTGTTGAGGATCTTGGATCTTGCGATCGATGCTTCCATGATCTTTCTGCAACCCCATTCATCCGCATCACCTGCCCGCGCTGGATGACTCGCAAGGAGGGCGCGATCGTCTCAACCTTACGCCTGGTATTAACCGTTGATTCGATGAGTCGCTGAGTCGCTCCAACCCTGAGCTTCTGGCAATATGACTCGGAAGGAAAACGGCATTGATTGTGATGAACATGTCGATGCTCGCGTTCGCTTTTCCAGACTGTTCATCTCGCTAAGTGCGGGGCGCCGTTATTCACTCTGGGCCTGGAGCCGGGTCGGGTCGACATTGCACAATCTTCGTAATCAGTTCTATTGCGGTCGGTGCCGGGGGTTCGCGTCATTCCAGAGTTGTTGTAAGAAGGTTGTTGGAGGAAGACGATGGTGCCACGTGGGTGCCAGAGGCGGAAAGTTAGAATAACGACATCAACCGGCGCGCGGTGGTCAAAGCGCGCCGTCCGGCAAACCTTATGCGATGCGCCTTGACGGCGAGGAACATACACCTCCACGACTCGTACGTGTAACCGTTGGATAGAAAGACGCGCCATGTTGACTTCGGAATGATTGATACGAAGCAACCAACCTTGCGGAACAGGGATGGTTTCCGTCGGAAAGCGTCCCACTCCCAAGCCTCGCGATAACGATAGCGTATGATTGGGCCGAAGAAGCCAACGACCAAGAAGATACATCTTTCCACTAAGAACATATATACAACTTCTGATCTGAACTTGGAAAGAACAAGAGAATAATTCCAAACTCCAAAATGCACGACCCCGTCGCCTCAGCAAAAGCCCAAGAAGCAACCCACCAATACACCTTCCGCCCCGCAACCCCCGCCGACATACCCTCCCTGCAATCCATGATCGCATCCTCACTCCGCAGCCTGGGAAAAGGGTACTACACAGACGCCGAACTCGACGGCTCAATAGGCTACCTCTTCGGTCCAGATTCCGTTCTCATAAAAGACCAGTACGTATAAATTCCAATCATAATCAATGGATGAGAATAAGGCGTCCGTCATCAACTGTCATCAAGCATTATCCATTTGCGGAAGAGAGGGGAGGGGGAATATGTACCCCTCTTTTCCACATTGCATTGCCAAAGACCAGACCCAGAAACCTTGGTAGTGGAAGGGAAGGAGGGGGGGAATTAAAGGGTAGTAAAGTTGATGATTTCGCAAACAGAACATACTACATCCTCCACCCCCTCAACGCACCCCTCACAATCTGTGCCTGCGGCGGCTGGTCCTTCCGCAAAACACTGTACGGCGGAGACTCCGCGCCCTCTCCCCTGCGCATGCCAGAGAAACGCGATCCAGCCGTTGACCGCGCGAGCATACGAGCAATCTTCACGAGTCCGCAGTATGCGCGCAAAGGCCTGGGTACGATGATGATGCGGTATTGTGAGGCGAGGGCGAGGGAAGGGAAGGCAGGTGAGACGGACGGGTTCAGGAGGCTGGAGATGGGGGCGACGCTGAGTGGAGTGCAGTTGTATGAGAGGTGTGGGTATGTGAGGAGTGGGAGGGTGGATGTGGTAACGTGTCCGAATGGGGAGGGGATTCGGATTCTGCATATGACTAAGGATTTGGATGAGGAGCACGAAAGTACTTGAACTGGGGCTGGGAAGTGGAAGGGAAGGGAGGATTTGGTAAAGTGTAGACCTAAAGATACATTTTTGCGAACCGACCCTTCCAAGGTTGTCACGATCGTGGTATTAGCCGTGGCCTGTGAGCGCGTAAGCGAGATCTAAGGTGGTACTGTACACGGCGCAATGATGACCCGTGATAACGTCTTTCCTGCACGCTGGTGAAATGCGGTGATGTGTTGTCAAGGAAGCGTGAACCCTGCCGCTTTGGGTTTAGTGGATGATGGACGCCTCGCGGTAAGGCACCCGATCGGGCGTATCTACTGCTTGTGGCGCTATGGTGCGGTCTTGATTGGGGTATCACAGGATAGAGCAGGAGAGGTCACTTGAGTAAGAAGCTTGGTGGCTCGTATATCAAGTAGGCGAGATTGTCCGGTTGTTCGAGTACACGGTTTCTGGTTCCTCTTTTTATGCGGATCAAGCGCGAATTTGTTATAACTACGGCGCCGATATTTGGACGATAAGCTTTACCCTGAGATCGAAATCATACATCGACAGCATGTCCGACCCCAAAGCCGCCGCGCTGTCAACGGCGGTTGTCATCATCACCGTACCATCGGGCACGTAGTCTTACTGTCGACATCCATACGATAAAGCCAATTTACGTGGCTCCTGGCTTGTGGCTCGTGGCTTCAGGGTCTAGCCTTTGGACTTGCTCACCGGAGCCGAGAAGAGTCATTCCGAGATTCGATGTTCGTGGGATTTCGGGTAGTGTTGGTCTTCTCCGGACAGGCGGTGACATGCGGAGTCACTTAAACCTGCCACGAGGATGCGAGGGCCAATGGCACGCGAAGCGATGGTCATCACCGGAATAACCAGGTACTTATTGCCTCAGTACGCGCGGTCTGCCAGCGTTACGAACGGCGAGCGGGGAGAAGAGCATTTGGACTGAAGAAGTGGTCTAGGCGGAAGTGCTGGCAGGATTGGGTAGCAGCAGTAAGAGCAATTGCGGCAACTCCTAACGACACCAAAGTCGGTTGTGAGTATGTCAGTCACGGCTTCACTTGAGGAAGCGGCAGGAAGCAGAAGTGTCAAGCACTTTTTTTTTGGAGGAGAGTTAATAGGATATGTTATCGCAAGAACGCATCAACGCAATGAAACCGAACGCATCCGGCCCAGATGCCCAATACCAATTCCGCCGCATCCTCCCAATGACTCTCCATTTTGTGGTAGTTTGATAAAGAAAAATTCAACGCAAGCAGTGCACATGAGTCCATGACGCGTGTTCCAGAGTTGTCTTCCAGTTAGACTAGAAGCCAACAACGCAAGTCATGACAGCCAGGGTATCGAAGAGTGAAGTGGGGGCTTTGTGCTGTGTCGTCGTAATCGTCGGCTGTGTGCATGAGTCGATTCGTGTCGATTCGTCTATGTGTCGTAACTCCAAATCCCAAGGACGCGAATAACTCCAAAGGAAGCCAAGGCCCATAACATAAAGGTAACAACCGGTACCTCACCGGAAAGGAGATCGACTTGGCCACAGATAGCTCGGTGACAGTTGTAATAGTCACATTGGTTGGAAGCTGGACGTGCGCCAAATCGATGCGAAACCGTAAGTACTCCAAAGGTGAAAGCTGACCTGCAGACCGTGATGAAGCGTGAGTGTCATAGCGGAAGGCTTTGTGCGTGGAAGGAGGTTGTTATGACTCCAGGAAGTCGTCCATCTCCTTCTCCAGGCCCTTGTTCCAGAGATACTCGTGGTCTGGCTCGATATGGTAGTCGACGGGGAGGTAGACGTCTTCCATGGTGGGGATCTTGCAGACTTGGTCCATGGGGTACTGCTCGATGGCGGGGAGCTGGTTCCACATGAGACCTGGAGGACCCTCCTCGCGGGGAAGAGGAAGGAAGCGACCGACACCTGTCTTGGCTCGATCATCGCCCTCCCACTTCATCTCAGCCATTGAAGGCCACGGAGCGATTTCGTCCTTGCCGTTCTCCCAGTCGTTGCACCAGATGGTTTGCTCACCCAGAGCGCGGCCGTAGTTTCCGATCTCTTCGAAGTTGCCTTCTAGACCGCACCTAGTGAGTGTCTTCTGGACGTCAGAGGAGATGGGGGAGGATATGAAACGGGCGTCTTCCTTGCTCTTGACCTGGTTTGCGAGCTTGTTCGCCTGCGATGCTAGCATGGCCTCTTTGTGAGCAACATAGTCGCTCAACTTCCACTTTGAGACGTCAGAGTTCTTGAAGAGTCGGCGCATTGCATTGCGAATCATGAGGAACTCTTGCTGGACCTGTGCGTCGGGGGACATCCATGTACGGGAGGCACGGTAGCTACCCGCACCACCACCTCCTCGACCGTTGTAGCCAGCTCCGAACCGATTGTTGCCACCGAAACCACGACCAGAAGGGCCATAGACACTCGGCTCGTTGTGTTGCTTCTGTCCGCGCTGATAAGGGTTAGTGTAGCGGTCTACGGTGTCCCTGCGGAGATCAACACCACCGCCGCTGATGGCCAAACCGTTGAAGTTGAGGTTCTCTGGACTAATGGGGCTATTAGGAGTCTCAAGGCCATCACCGCTGGAGCGGACGTCAGAGCTCTCGTCATGAAGGGTATCACCGCTAGAGTCGGATGTCGGAGATGTGACTTTGGTATCCTGGAGTTCTGGTGCAAAGGCCTTATTGGGTGTCGCGACTGAGTCCCCAGTTACGACTTTGATAGGATCGACCATAGAAGGTGACATTGAACGATGCCTGGTGGGGTGACTTGGGAAGAAAGATAGGCGCTGAGGCTGTGCAATGTTTCAAGCCCCAGAGGTAAAGGCCGGCGGTATTCAACTTTGCGTGAGGCTGTAGCGTGTAGGTGGTGTGTGGATGCGGTAGAGAGCAGCGATGTGATGAGACTGTAATTTGTAGGTCTGATAGAGCCAAGAGTGGTTATGGTATGAGCCCAAGCGGTTACGAGAGACTAGATCAATCTAGGTACTCCGACTATACACGAAGTTCAATTAGCAAAGATTCACTACACGTGCGCTGGTTCGGGTCAAGAGACAGCGTCACCGCCTTCGCGATGGTGGTCGATACAAGTTTGCTGCCCGAACACTTGGTTCGCGGGATGAGATAGATAGCGCAGAATCTTCGGTCATCTGCGGGAGACCAGTAGACGAGGTTTGAGTCGACACCGCCCCGAAGTTTCGGAGAACGCGGCATCGATATGCAATGTGTTTGTCACGTACCTGAGAGTCTGGGCCTTGCAAGTGCGGGGTTTACAAGATACTTAGAGAGATAGTGAGGCGCCAAGTTGTTGAACCCGAGCGCTTGTTCTGAACCTCAAAGTGAGCGAATGAGGCAGACCTGATTGCTCACATGAATAAGCTTACGATGAGTGTAGTTGGTAAGTTGAGTTGGTTATTTGGTGAGTTCTTGGGTAGAAGAGGTTTGCCGACAGAAATGTGTGTTATTGTAGCGCTGAAAGTTGCCTAATATATGTCTTAGCTGCCATAGGTCCAGCCTAGCGATGATAGAAGGTGAGAATGAGAGCGTACGTTCTGCGTGATCGAAGTTATTGTACTCTCAGTGGTAGCCTGCGATATCGGTCACCGGGCTCAGGTACGTGTTCACCTGCTCGACCAGCGGTGTATTGAGCGGAGCGGGGACTGGGATGCGGTACGCTGTCGCGAGAGCGGTAATATTGGAAAACGATTGCGGTCTCTTCAGCTGTGCGCTCTCCAAACTGATAACAAAGTAGAGGACGGGAGGGACGATTCGGGCGAGTTGTAACAAGTGCGGTCGGTTCGAAAGCGGAGGAATCTGATATGTACTGCGAGTGGTTAATAAAGTTACGTCACGTCGGGCAATGCAAAGTGCGAGCAATTGAGAGGTTCCGGAACGAGTATGGCGCGAGTGCAGTGAACGAGTGGGCAAAGCGGAGTGGGTAAACAAGTGGTAATTTGCGGTTGGTGGGGTAAGGTGAGGTCTCTCGTCACTGAGCACGTTCTGCACGGCCTGCACGGTCGAGTTGGAAAAACGACGCCCGGGCTCATGGTGGACGCGGAACGTGCTGGAAGCTCGCGTTCACCTCACCACTCTCCGGATCTCGGTGAATCCCAAGCAGAAATGAATGACGTGTAGCGACCAGCGCTATCAAGGAGAGGCAAGCGGACGATGATCATAGACGGTGACGGTGAACAATAGACGAAAGGGGTTCGGAAGAAGAGATGGTGATTTGGAGAGGAGTTGAGAGCTGGAAGATGAGCGAGAGATGTTGTATGTCTTGGTCAGCCAGAAATGGAAGGAAAGCGCGCTCGGAATACGACAAGTGCGCCCAACACGAGGAAGCGACGGCCCATAAGGGTTGTTGACGACAACCTCTGCATAACGCATGCATTCTCATCGCATTCCGAAGCGTGTCGCACTTTGAAGCAGTGATTTCGTACCATAGAACCATAAAGAGCAACAAACAATCAGCGGTTCAGCAGTGGTTAGCCAGACATCCATCAAGGAAATGCATCTCATGGAATACGTCCTACATTGAGAGACTCAGTTATGCTACTCAACCTAACATGTCAGCAACCTTCCAGAGGATGAGACAAAGGACAGAGAACATGGCATCATGGAAGAACGGTTGGCTACATCGGCGGAGTGATAAACCTTACGGATTGGCGGTATTGAGCTGCAAAGACGTGTGGTACGGGAGCAGAATTCGCATGCGAGGACTCGTATCAATATGTACAGCATGGCCATGCAGAAGAATCTTGGACGTGAGCAGTTGTCGTTGGCGTTGATGCAGTACGGAAGAATGTTTGGAACCGGGATGGAGGAGATGAAGTTGGGACGACAGGGCTGTGTTTGAGCCTTCTTAGCGAATGTGGCTTGATTGGACAGAGGCAATCGTGCAGGAGCGACCGGCGCATGGCTC